GTGGCTGGCTGTGTGGTTGAGGCTGACTGTGTGGTTGTGGCTGACTGTATGGTTGTCTGACTGTGTGGTTGTGGCGGACTGTGTGGTTGTGGCTGTCTGTGTGGTTGTGGCTGCCTGTGTGGTTGAGGCTGACTGTGTGGTTGAGGCTGACTGTGTGGTTGTGGCTGACTGTGTGGTTGTGGCTGCCTGTGTGGTTGAGGCTGACTGTGTGGTTGTGGCTGACTGTGTGGTTGTCTGACTGTGTGGTTGTGGCTGGCTGTGTGGTTGTGGCTGGCTGTGTGGTTCAGGCTGACTGTGTGGTTGTGGCGGACTGTGTGGTTGTGGCTGACTGTGTGGTTGAGGCTGACTGTGTGGTTGTGGCTGCCTGTGTGGTTGTCTGACTGTGTGGTTGTGGCTGACTGTGTGGTTGTCGCTGGCTGTGTGGTTGTGGCTGGCTGTGTGGTTCAGGCTGACTGTGTGGTTGTGGTTGACTGTGTGGTTGAGGCTGACTGTGTGGTTGTGGCTGGCTGTGTGGTTGTGGCTGACTGTGTGGTTGTGGCTGGTGTGTGGTTGTGGCTGCCTGTGTGGTTGTGGCTGACAGTGTGGCTGACAGTGTGGTTGTGGCCGTCTGTGTGGTTGTGGCCGTCTGTGTGGTTGATGCTGGCTGTGTGGTTGTGGTTGACTGTGTGGTTGTGGCTGACTGTGTGGTTGAGGCTGACTGTGTGGTTGAGGCTGACTGTGTGGTTGTGGCTGACTGTGTGGTTGTGGCTGACTGTGTGGTTGATGCTGACTGTGTGGTTGTGGCTGACTGTGTGGTTGTGGCTGGCTGTGTGGTTGTGGCTGACTGTGTGGTTGTGGCTGACTGTGTGGTTGTGGCTGGCTGTGTGGTTGAGGCTGGCTGTGTGGTTGTGGTTGTGGCTGCATGTGTGGTTGTGGCTGACTGTGTGGTTGTGGATGACTGTGTGGTTGAGGCTGACTGTGTGGTTGTGGCTGACTGTGTGGTTGAGGCTGACTGTGTGGTTGTGGCTGGCTGTGTGGTTGTGGCTGACTGTGTGGTTGAGGCTGACTGTGTGGTAGTGGTTGACTGTGTGGTTGAGGCTGACTGTGTGGTTGTGGCTGGCTGTGTGGTTGTGGCTGACTGTGTGATTGTGGCTGACTGTGTGGTTGTGGCTGACTGTGTGGTTGTGGCTGACTGTGTGGTTGAGGCTGGAGCCATCACGGAGACGCGGGACAGCTGGGGGGGAGAGGGGGGCGGGGATGACCACAACAACAACAACAACAGCAACAACAACAAACGGGTGTAGTGATACAGCAACAATTACAGTCATACGACCACAAAGACAGTCAACCACACAACAACCACAGCGATAACCGCAGTCACCCAGCCACGGTCACACAGTGACCACGGTCACACACGGCCACAACAACCCCCGCAAGTCGCACAACCACAGTCACACAGCCACAGTCACACAACCACAGTCACACAACCACAGTCACACAGTCACACAACCACAGTCACACAGTCACACAGTGACACAGTCACACAATCACAGTCACACAGCCACAGTCACAACCACAGTCACACAACCACAGTCACACAGCCACAGTCACACAGCCACAGTCACAACCACAGTCACACAACCACAGTCACAACCACAGTCACACGACCACAGTCACAGTCACAACGTCACACAACCACAGTCACACAGTCACACAACCACAGTCACAACCACAGTCACACAGTCACAGTCACACAGTCACAGTCACACAACCACAGTCACACAGTCACACAACCAGTCACACAGTCACACAACCACAGTCACACAGTCACACAACCACAGTCACACAACCACAGTCACACAGTCACACAACCACAGTCACACAACCACAGTCACACAGTCACAGTCACACAACCACAGTCACAACCACAGTCACACAACCACAGTCACACAGTCACACAACAACAGTCACACAGTCACACAACCACAGTCACATAGTCACACAACCACAGTCACACAACCACACAGTCACACAGTCACACAACCACAGTCACACAGTCACAGTCACACAGTCACACAACCACAGTCACAGTCACACAGTCACACAGCCACACAACCACAGTCACAACCACAGTCACACAGTCACAGTCACACAACCACAGTCACAGTCACACAGTCACAGTCACACAGTCACACAATCACAGTCACACAGTCACACAACCACAGTCATAGTCACAACCACAGTCACAACCACAGTCACACAGCCACAGTCACAACCACAGTCACACAACCACAGTCACAACCACAGTCACACAACCACAGTCACAACCACAGTCACAGTCACACAGTCACAGTCACACAGTCACACAACCACAGTCACACAACCACAGTCACAGTCACAACGTCACACAACCACAGTCACACAGTCACAGTCACACAGTCACACAGTCACGGTCACACAGTCACACAAACACAGTCACACAACCACAGTCACACAGTCACACAACCACAGTCACACAGTCACACAGTCTCACAGTCACACAGCCACACAGCCACAATCACACAGCTACAGTCACACAACCACAGTCACACAGTCACACAGCCACACAGTCACACAACCACAGTCACAGCCACACAGCCACACAACCACAGTCACACAGTCACACAACCACAGTCAACAGCCACAGTCACACAACCACAGTCACACAGTCACACAACCACAGTCACACAACCACAGTCACACAGTCACACAACCACAGTCACACAACCACAGTCACAGTCACACAACCACAGTCACACAACCACAGTCACACAGTCACAGTCACACAGTCACACAGTCTCACAGTCACACAGTCACACAACCACAGTCACACAGCCACAGTCACACAACCACAGTCACACAGTCACACAACCACAGTCACTCACCTCCACCACCGCCTGTCCCAGCCGCTCCGCCGCCTGCACCCTCCGCCTGTGGGAACAGGCGGACAGGCGGTGGTGTAGTAAACATCGCCACTGGGGAGACAAAGGCGGCCGGGCGTGGTGCTGGTAACCACCCACCCCCTCGTGTGCCACAGTGCCGGTAGCCTTCATAGGTGCTGCTACTCGCTACTAACAGCACTTGCCCCTACAGTCTGTAGAGGCTACACGGGGGACCTTTGTCTGTGTCTACCTTCATAGCTGCTGCTGCTACTCGCTACTAACAGCACTTGCCCCTACAGTCTGTAGAGGCTACACGGGGGATCTTTGTGTCTGCCTTCATAGCTGCTGCTACTCGCTACTAACAGCACTTGCCCCAGCAGTCTGTAGAGGCTACACGGGGGACCTTTGTCTGTGTCTACCTTCATAGGTGCTGCTGCTCGCTACTAACAGCACTTGCCCCAGCAGTCTGTCGAGGCTACACGGGGGACCTTTGTCTGTGTCTACCTTCATAGGTGCTGCTGCTACTCGCTACTAACAGCACTTGCCCCAGCAGTCTGTTGAGGCTACACGGGGGATCTTTGTCATTGTGTACAGGGTACACAGAGCTGAATGCATAGGTGGATGTGTGAGTGAGCGAGCGACCAGGTGAGTGTGTAGGTGAGTGTACAGGTGAGTGTACAGGTGAGTGTGTAGGTGAGTGTACAGGTTAGTGTGCAGGTGAGTGTGTAAGTGAGTGTACAGGTGAGCGTGTAGGTGAGTGTACAGGTGAGTGTGTAGGTGAGTGTGTAGGTGAGTGTGCAGGTGAGTGTACAGGTGAGTGTACAGGTGAGTGTGTAGGTGAGTGTGGAGGTGAGTGTGGGGTGAGTGTGTAGGTGAGTGTACAGGTGAGTGTACAGGTGAGTGTACAGGTGAGTGTGTAGGTGAGTGTGTAGGTGAGTGTACAGGTGAGTGTACAGGTGAGTGTGTAGGTGAGTGTACAGGTGAGTATACAGGTGAGTGTACAGGTGAGTGTGTAGGTGAGTGTACAGGTGAGTGTACAGGTGAGTGTGTAGGTGAGTGTGTAGGTGAGTGTACAGGTGAGTGTACAGGTGAGTGTGTAGGTGAGTGTACAGGTGAGTATACAGGTGTGTGCAGGTGAGTGTACAGGTGAGTGTACAGGTGAGTGTGCCCTCACCTGTGCTGCGCTGAGTGTGAGTTGTTCCTCTCTCTGTCCGTGGGAGTCATCAGTCTGGGGAGACAAGCGGACACAGCAGGGACGAGACGCGTGTCTCCCCGTGTGTCTCCGTGTCTCTCCGTATCTCCGCGTGTCTCCCCATGTCTCCGCGTGTCTCCCCGTGTGTCTCTCCTTGTGTCTCCCCGCGTGTCTCCCCGTGTGTCTCCCCGTGTGTCTCCCCGTGTCTCTCCCCGTGTCTCTCCGCGTGTTTCCCCGTGTGTCTCCTCGCTTGTCTCCCCGTGTCTCCGCGTGTCTCCCCGCGTGTCTCCCCATGTCTCCCCGTGTGTCTCCCCGCGTGTCTCCCCGTGTCTCCCCATGTCTCCCCGTGTGTCTCCCCGCGTGTCTCCTCGCTTGTCTCCCCATGTCTCCGCGTGTCTCCGCGTGTCTCCCCGTGTGTCTCCCCGTGTCTCCGCGTGTCTCCCCGTATGTCTCCCCGTGTCTCCCCGTGTCTCCCCGTGTCTCCCCCTGTCTCCCCGTGTCTCCCCGTGTCTCCCCGCGTGTCTCCTCGCTTGTCTCCCCGTGTCTCCCCGTGTGTCTCCCCGTGTCTCCCCGCGTCTCCCGCGCGTGTCCCCCTGCGTGTGTCTCTGTCTCCCCGCGTGTCTCCCCGCGTGTCTCCCCGTGTCTTCCCGCGTGTCTCCCCGTGTCTCCCCGCGTCTCCCCGCGTCTCCCCGCGTCTCTCCCCCCGTGTCTCCCCGTGTCTCCCCACGTGTCTCCCCGCGTGTCTCCCCGTGTGTCTCCCCCCGTGTCTCCCCGTGTCTCCCCGCGTCTCCCAGCGTGTCTCCCCACGTGTCTCCCCACGTGTCTCCCCACGTGTCTCTCCCCGTGTCTCCCCCCCGTGTCTCCCCGCGTGTCTCCCCCCCGTGTCTCCCCACGTGTCTCCCCCCCGCTCACCTCACGGTGACCCTGGCGCTGGCGAACGCCCTGAGCAGGAACCGTCCCTGGGCACCGGCGTGGAACGTGGACGGCACGGCCCGGTAGAGCCCTGGCGGCAACCACACCGCCCCTCCCGCCCCTCCTCCTCCTCCGGCGGCACCGGCGGCACCGGCGACACCGGCGGCACCGGCGGCACCGGCGACACCGGCGGCACCGGCGACACCGGCGGCACCGGCGGCACCGGCGGCACCGGCGGCACCGGCGGCACCGGCGGCACCGGCGGCACCGGCGGTGTGGACGTGCCGAGCGAACTCGTGGTGCAGCGTGCCCAGCACCGGTGGCTCGCTCACAGCCTGAGCCTCGCGGGCAGTGTCCTGGTAGTGGAGGGGAGGGGGAGGAGGAGGAGGGGGGGAGGAGGAGGAGGGGGAGGAGGGGGGGGGAGGAGGAGGGGGAGGAGGGGGGGAGGAGGAGGGGGAGGAGGAGGAGGGGGGGGAGGAGGAGGGGGAGGAGGAGGAGAGGGAGGAGGGGGAGGAGAGGGAGGAGAGGGAGGGGGAGGAGGGGGAGGAGAGGGAGGGGGAGGAGGGAGGAAGAGGGGGAGGAGAGGGAGGAGGAGGGGGAGGAGGGGGAGGAGGGGGAGGGAGGAGGGGGAGGAGGAGGAGGGGGAGGAGGAGGAGAGGGAGGAGGGGGAGGAGAGGGAGGAGAGGGAGGGGGAGGAGGGGGAGGAGAGGGAGGGGGAGGAGGGGGGGGGGAGGAGGAGAGGGAGGGGAGGGAGGGAGGAGGAGGAGGGGGAAGGGGAGGAGAGGGAGGAGGAGGAGGGGGAGGAGGAGGAGGAGAGGGAGAAGGAGGGGGGGGGGAGGAGAGGGAGGGGGAGGAGAGGGAGGGGGAGGAGAGGGAGGAGGGGGAGAGGGAGGAGGAGGAGTAACTTTAAATCCTCAGCATCTCAAGGACTGCTCAGTGTAGCTGAGGGGCACCCCCAGCGGCAGCTGTCCCCGTGCCCCGGTGTGAATGCACCTCGAGTCCTGGGCCTACCCTGGGTCGTCGCGGCCTCTCTCCCGCACCGGGGAGACAAAGGCGGCCGGGCACTTGCCCCTACAACCTGCGTGGGCTACCCGGGGGGACCTTTGTCTGTGTCTGTGCGTCAGGTTCCTCCTGCCGGTGCCCCCCATGTGTCCTCCCTCCCTCCCTGTCTCTACGACAGCGGTGAGCGGAGAGCGTGCGGTGGTGGTGGTGATGGTGGTGGTGGTGGTGATGGTGGTGGTGGTGATGATGGTGGTGGCAGTGGTGGTGGTGATGGTGGTGGTGGTGATGGTGGTGGTGGCGATGATGGTGGTGGCAGTGGTGGTGGTGATGGTGGTGGTGGCGGTGGTGGTGGTGATGGCGGTGGTGGTGATGGTGGTGGTGGTGGTGATGGTGGTGGTGGTGTTGGTGGTGGTGGTGATGGTGGTGGTGTTGGTGGTGATGGTGGTGGTGGTGGTAATGGCGGTGGTGGTGGTGATGGTGGTAGTGGTGGTGATGATGGTGGTGGCAGTGGTGGTGGTGGTGGTGATGGTGGTGGTGGTGGTGGCGATGATGGTGGTGGCAGTGGTGGTGGTGATGGTGGTGGTGGCGGTGGTGGTGGTGATGGCGGTGGTGGTGATGGTGGTGGTGGTGGTGATGGTGGTGGTGGTGTTGGTGGTGGTGGTGATGGTGGTGGTGTTGGTGGTGATGGTGGTGGTGGTGGTAATGGCGGTGGTGGTGGTGGTGGTGATGGTGGTGGTGGTGATGGTGGTGGTGGTGATGATGGTGGTGGCAATGGTGGTGGTGATGGTGGTGGTGGTGGTGGCGATGATGGTGGTGGCAGTGGTGGTGGTGATGGTGGTGGTGGTGGTGGCGGTGGTGGTGGTGATGGCGGTGGTGGTGATGGTGGTGGTGGTGGTGGTGATGGTGGTGGTGGTGTTGGTGATGGTGGTGGTGTTGGTGGTGATGGTGGTGGTGGTGGTAATGGCGGTGGTGATGGTGGTGGTGGCGGTGGTGGTGATGGTGGTGGTGATGGTGGTGGTGGCGGTGGTGGTGGTGATGGCGGTGATGGTGGTGGTGATGGTGGTGGTGTTGGTGGTGGTGACGGTGGTGGTAGCGGTGACGGAGGCGACGCCGACTATAAATCACAACCCATCAAGATCCCTCACCCTCCACACGTGCACCCCAATAGCTTCCATCGCCACCTCCTCATCCTCCTCCACCTCCTCATCCTCCTCCTCCTCCTCCTCCTCATCCTCCTCCTCCTCCTCCTCCTCCACCTCCTCCTCGTCGCGTCGGCGGCGGCGCGGCAGCAGCTGGGACAGCGCGACGAGGAGCGGCCCCCCCGGCGGAGCGAGCCTGACGAGGTAGGCCGGGTTCCGAGCGTACCCGGGCCCGTTGCGGCTGCCCCCCGCGGACACGCCCCTTACCCAGCGTCCCTTGCAGCTGGCCACGTGGGGCAGCAGTGAGCCTGGGCGGATCGGATTCGTGCGTTGGAGATCAACGGTCCGGGTTCGGATTCTTTAAAATCTCAACCATTCTCAACCACTTCACGGGCTGGTGAGTCCCAGCGGGCTGCCGCCGAGCTCTGCTGCTGCTGCTGCCGGAAGCGTTCCCTCGCCGTCATCATCAACGTCGTCATCATCGTCATCGTCGTCATCATCAACGTCGTCATCATCGTCGTCATCATCGTCGTCGTCATCATCGTCGTCATCATCGTCGTCGTCATCATCATCGTCGTCATCATCATCGTCGTCGTTGTCATCATTGTCGTCGTCATTGTCATCGTCGTCATCGTCGTCATCATTGTCATCGTCGTCGTCGTCATCGTCGTCATCGTCATCGTCTTCATTGTCGTCATCGTCGTCGTCATCGTTATCGTTGTCATCATCGTCGTTATCGTTGTCGTCGTCATCATCGTCGTCGTCATCGTCGTCATCGTCGTCATCGTTATCGTCGTCATCATCGTCGTCATCGTCGTCGTCATCGTCGTCATCGTCGTCACCACGTGGACATTCATGGCGGTGGCCAAAACACTCCAAGCGCCGTGGGTGACGTCGATCCTAAACGCGGAGGGGGAAACCCGGGAGGACCCGGAGAGAAAAACCACACGGACACGGAGAGACACAGAGAGAGACACACAGAGAGAGACACACAGAGAGAGACGCACAGAGAGAGACACACAGAGAGAGACGCACAGAGAGAGACACACAGAAAGAGACACACAGAGAGAGACACACAGAGAGAGACACACAGAGAGAGACACACAGAGAGAGACACACAGAGAGAGACATCGCAAATACACAGCAGCAGCAGCAGGCGTCGTCAGGGTCGGGATCGAACCCACGACCTCCTGCACACCAGGCGAGGTAGTTAACATCTCCTAGCCACTGTGATGATGAAGATGATGAGAGAGACACGCAAACTCTAAATACACAGCAGCAGCAGGCGTCGTCAGGGTCGGGATCGAACCCACGACCTCCTGTATACCAGGCGAGGTAGTCAACATCTCCTAGCCACCGTGATGATGATGAGAGAGAGAGAGATGCAGACTCCAAATATACAGCAGCAGGCGTCATCAGGGTCGGGATCGAACCCACGACCTCCTGTAGGCCAGGCGAGGTAGTTAACATCTCCTAGCCACCGTGATGATGATGATGAGAGAGACACGCAGACTCCAAATATACAACAGCAGGCGTCAGGGTCGGTATCGAACCCACGACCTCCTGCGTACCAGGCGAGGTAGTCAACATCTCATAGCCACCGTGATGATGATGAGAGAGAGACACGCAGACTCCAAATCTACAGCAGCAGACGTCAGGGTTAGGATCGAACCCACACCCTGCATTTTAACACGTAGTACATATATACTGTAGCTTAATATGGAGCTGGCTTTCACGACCAATATCATCCATTAGAGGTTTTTTCAGGGTTAGATCGCATAAATATATTAATGTTGTGTCGTTAAACCCTCCACCACCCATACACAGCCAACTGGTAAGAGGGTTGGTCACGTAAACAGAACGTGGCCAATTCGTTACGAGTACAGCACTAGTGTATAGTGTAGTGTATAGTGTAGTATACTAGTACACACACACACAGTGGCACACACACACACAGTGACACACACACACGCACAGTGACACACACACAACAACCGCCATTCACCACTAAGTGGCGGTGACGTCACCACGACGCTTGTGCCAGGCTATGTGCACCCTGAGGCCACGTGAAGTGTCGAACGCCCGCTGGCAGGAGGTCTCGGGGCAGACCCAGGTGCCACGGGTCGACTGACTGAGATGACTGGCTGATGCACCACCTGTACCCCCTACTGTGCCAACCTGCTGTGCTTTAGCTACCCGGCGCTCCACTCGTTGTTGTGAGTGTCGCTCCTCCGTCCTCCGTTGTTGTTGGAGGGCGACTGCCTCCAACTGTCCAGTAGCGTCCTTCACGAGCCTCCTCCACAGAGGCCGATCTTGACACCGCTGGTACCAGTCATCGGTAAGTCCACTCAGCTCCACGTCCTCCTGTACCACATCACTCCATCTCTTCTCTAGCCCGTGCCGCGCCCGTTTAGCCCCCTCAATCCGGCCGAACAAAAGCTGTTTCGGCATACGGTGGCTGGGCATGCGGGCTACATGACCCAGCCATCGCAGCCTTGCATGCCGGAGGAGCTCACCGATGGGACCTTGCCCAGGTCTTTCAAGGATTTGTGAGCTCCTCACACAATCCAGTCTGGTTAAACCCAGGATGGATCGTAGGCAGGCCAGCCTAAATGTTTCTAACCGGCGAAGATGTTCCATTAGGGGGGTCCACATTTCGCAAGCGTAGAGAAGTGAGGGAATGACCGTGGCCGAGAAGACCTGAAGCTTAGTGCGGAGCGACAGACCAGGTAGCTTCCACACAGCGTTACGCAACCGATGAAAAGATATTGCCGCTCGACTGATTCGGAGTGAGACCTCTGCTGTTAAACTGGAGCCGGTCATTAGCACACTGCCCAGGTATGGGAAACTCTCCACTCGCTCCACAACTGCCCCATCACTGATTGGGAGTTGTGGGGGTGGAGTGTCCGATGGTACAAAATACCCAGGCAGGTGCTTAGTTTTGGTGGGGCTGATGGTAAGGCCCCACCTCTTAGTGGCACGCTCCAGTCTCAGCAGCAGCGTCTCCAACTCCTCCTCTGAATGAGCAGCTATTACCAAATCATCAGCATACATAACGTGGTTGAGCAATAGGGAGCCATCCCTTGACCGCACCCGGGCATCGATCAGCCTCCCATTGTATCTGTACCATATGGAGATTCCCCCGGTACAGCTATTGAAGGCTTCGCGAACTACGTGGTCAAAATAGATGTTAAATAATGTGGGAGCCAGAGGACATCCCTGTCGCACCCCAAGGTGTACAGGGAATGGGTATGACTCCCGGCCACGTAGTTTTACCCGGGCCCGCTCACCATCATGAAGGTCCTTAATGATCGTGAGCAGAGGGTCAGGTACTCCAAAAGCACGAAGAACGACCCAGAGCCCAGGCCTACTGATGGTATCATAGGCCTTGACCAGGTCAATAAAGCAGAGATGTAGGTCTTGTTGGAATTCCCTACACCTCTGCTGTAGCAGACGGACAGAAAATATGGCATCTGTGCAGGACCGCCCTTTCCTGAAACCGCATTGGGGCTCCGCAAGCCTCTCCTCAGCGTGTCTGGCAAGGCAATGCTGAATAATCCTTGCCAGGACCTTTCCCGGCACACTGAGGAGTGAGATGCCCCTGTAGTTGTTACAGTCTGTGCGGTCCCCCTTCTTAAAAAGGGGGACCACCAGGGCATCCTTCCAATCCTGCGGAACCCGTCCAGTGGTCCAGACTGTTGTTATGATGTCATATAGGGCAGTCTGTGCACAAACGCCACCCTCCCTCAGCATTTCGCTTGGGAGATCATCTCTGCCCGCTGCCTTTCATGGTCTCAGACTCCGGATCGCCTTCAATACTTCCTCAGCAGATGGCACCTCAGCCAGCCACTCACAGGGGGTGACTTCTTCCAATATTTGAGGCACCGCAGCCTCAGCAGGGTCATCCTCACTTTGTGCCACGATGTTTTCCTGGCTGAGGGATTTTCCCTCCCCCAGGACCTCACAGAAATGCTCAGCAAATCTGCGAACCTGTTCCTGGGGGTCGGAGATTGGATCACCGTTTTTTTCCCCTAATGATGGTAATAGGTGTGGCGCTGCAGGTTACTTTTTTGATGGAGTTAAATAGAGATTTGTGATCACGGGCCACTGAGGCAGACTCCATCTCCTCAGCAACCCGCGACCACCACCCATCCTTGCAGCGCCTCACGGCTCTCCGAACCTCCGAGCGAAGGCTGCGGTAAGCCTCCTCATTCTTTGACGTGGGATTCTGTAGCCGATGACAGTGGGCCTGTCGCTTTTTCTCAACCATCCTGAACACCTCCTCTGTCAGCCAGGGTCTCTGGGGAGGTCTGGACCACGTACCCAAAGCAGCCATTGTAGCTGCATGAGTCACAGTCCTAAACCTCGCCCATTTACCCTCGACATCAGGAGGAGTCGGGGACGATGCCAATCCCAGCCGCAAGCGATGATGAAATTCTCGCTTGCAACTTTCATCAGATAACTGAGACCAAGCCACTTTATGTTGGAATGGGGTCCTGGGTGTACACCCACCACCGGAGTGGAAGAATGGCAGGCGCATCTTACAGATGACTAGTCGATGGTCAGAGGGCAGATCAGCTCCACGGTAGGTCCTGGTGTCAAGGACATGGGCTCGCATTCGCTGGTCCGTCACTATGTAGTCCAGCAGATGTTCTTGCTTGGACCCGGCATGCATCCATGATGTTGTGTGGATGCGCCGATGCCGGAACAGCGTGTTGGTAATTACAAGCCCATGGGCTGCACAAAAATCTAGCAGCCTCCTACCATTGTTATTGAGCTGATCTGGCCCATGCCCTCCAATCACTCCAGACCAGGTGCCAGTATCATGACCAACTCGGGCATTGAAGTCACCCAACATGATGACTCTATCCCGAGGGGCCACTTTAGCCAGCACCTGTGACAGGAGGTCATAGAAGGCATCTGACTCATCGGCTTTGCCTGCATCCCTCCACGGATGTTCATCTTCGGTGGGGGCATAAGTAACCACGACCACCATTCCTCGCCTCCGGTTGATGGGAAGGCGAGCCCAAAGTAGCCTGGGGCTTACAGCTTCCCACACCTCACCGCCACGCTCCGACGCCCCCTTCATTCTTTTGTTCAAAGAAGACCCACACACACACACAGTGACACACACACACACAGTGACACACACACACAGTGACACACAGTGACACACACACACAGTGACACACACACACACAGTGACACACACACACAGTGACACACACACACACAGTGACACACACACAGTGACACACACACAGTGACACACACACACAGTGACACACACACAGTGACACACACACACAGTGACACACACACACACACAGTGACACACACACAGTGACACACACACACAGTGACACACATACACACACACAGTGACACACATACACACACACACACAGTGACACACACACACACAGTGACACACACACACAGTGACACACACACAGTGACACACACACAGTGACACACACACAGTGACATACAACAACAACAACAACAACCGCCATTCGCCACTAAGTGGCGGTGACGTCACCACGACGCTTGTGCCAGGCTATGTGCACCCTGAGGCCACGTGAAGTGTCGAACGCCCGCTGGCAGGAGGTCACGGGGCAGACCCAGGTGCCACGGGTCGACTGACTGAGATGACTGGCTGATGCACCACCTGTGCCCCCTACTGTGCCAACCTGCTGTGCTTTAGCCACCCGGCGCTCCGCTCGCTGTTGTGAGCGTCGCTCCTCCGCCCTCCGTTGTTGTTGGAGGGCGACTGCCTCCAACTGCCCAGTAGCATCCTTCACGAGCCTCCTCCACAGAGGCCGATCTTGACACCGCTGGTACCAGTCATCGGCAAGTCCACTCAGCTCCACGTCCTCCTGTACCACATCACTCCATCTCTTCTCTAGCCCGTGCCGCGCCCGCTTAGCCCCCTCAATCCGGCCAAACAAAAGCTGTTTCGGCATGCGGTGGCTGGGCATGCGGGCTACATGACCCAGCCATCGCAGCCTTGCCTGCCGGAGGAGCTCACCGATGGGACCCTGCCCAGATCTTTCAAGGATTTGTGAGCTCCTCACACAATCCAGTCTGGTTAAACCCAGGATGGATCGTAGGCAGGCCAGCCTAAATGTTTCTAACCGGCGAAGATGTTCCATTAGGGGGGTCCACGTTTCGCAAGCGTAGAGAAGGGAGGGAATGACCGTGGCCGAGAAGACCTGAAGCTTAGTGCGGAGCGACAGACCAGGTAGCTTCCACACAGCGTTACGCAACCGATGAAAAGATATTGCCGCTCGACTGATTCGGAGTGAGACCTCTGCTGTTAAACTGGTGCCAGTCATAAGCACACTGCCCAGGTATGGGAAACTCTCCACTCTCTCCACAACTGCCCCATCACCGATTGGGAGTTGTGGGGGTGGAGTGTCCGATGGTACAAAATACCCAGGCAGGTGCTTGGTTTTGGTGGGGCTGATGGTAAGGCCCCACCTCTTAGTGGCACGCTCCAGTCTCAGCAGCAGCGTCTCCAACTCCTCCTCTGACTGAGCAGCTATTACCAAGTCATCAGCATACATAACGTGGTTGAGCAATAGGGAGCCATCCCTTGACCGCACCCGGGCATCGATTAGCCTCCCATTATATCTGTACCATATGGAGATTCCCCCGGTACAGCTATTGAAGGCTTCACGAACTACGTGGTCAAAATAGATGTTAAATAATGTGGGAGCCAGAGGACATCCCTGTCGCACCCCAAGGTGTACAGGGAATGGCTCTGACTCCCGGCCACGTAGTTTTACCCGGGCCCGCTCACCATTATGAAGGTCCTTAATGATCGTGAGCAGAGGGTCAGGTACTCCAAAAGCACGAAGAACGACCCAGAGCCCAGGCCTACTGATGGTATCATAGGCCTTGACCAGGTCAATAAAGCAGAGATGTAGGTCTTGTTGGAATTCCCTACACCTCTGCTGTAGCAGACGGACAGAAAATATGGCATCTGTGCAGGACCGCCCTTTCCTGAAACCGCATTGGGGCTCGGCAAGCCTCTCCTCAGCGTGCCTGGCAAGGCGATTCTGAATAATCCTTGCCAGGACCTTTCCCGGCACACTGAGGAGTGAGATGCCCCTGTAGTTGTTACAGTCTGTGCGGTCCCCCTTCTTAAAAAGGGGGACCACCAGGGCATCCTGTGACATACACACACAGTGACACACACACACAGTGACACACACACACACAGTGACACACACACACAGTGACACACACACACACAGTGACACACACACAGTGACACACACACACACAGTGACACACACACACACACAGTGACACACACACACACACACAGTGACACACAGTGACACACACACACAGTGACACACACACACACAGTGACACACCACGGGCGCCGTTCGCCCGCCCCGGCGATCATCGTCCTTACCGGTGAGGATGTCAACCAGGCTGCCACCACCACCGCCGCCGCCGCCGCACGGCATGATGGGATACCCCAGCGTGACCTCGTCGAAGAGGTCGGGGAAGTCCGCCTCCCCGACACGCAGCTCGCCCGGCTCCACGCCGGGCTCCACGCCGCCGCCCGGTGCACCGAGCCTGGTACGGCAGTGGCGGTGGGTGGGTGGTGGCGGGGAAGAAGGGCGACTCCGGTTAGGGTTGGTGTCACACGACAGTGCCGCAAGCGCTGGGTCCGCCCGTGTGGGTGTGCGTGTGTGTGCGTGTGGGTGTGTGTGTGCGTGTGTGTGTGTTTGTGTGTGTGCCCGTGTGTGTGTGCGTGTGTGTGTGTGTGCCCGTGTGTTTGTGTGTGTGCGTGTGTGTGCGTGCCCGTGTGGGTGTGCGTGTGTGTGCCCGTGTGTGTACGTGTGTGTGTGTGTGTGTGCCCGTGTGTGTGTCTCTGTGTACCCGTGTCTCCCCCCCCGTGACCCTGTGAGCCCATGACCCGTGTCTCCCCCACGTGTCTCCACCCCGTGTCCGTGACCCCGTGACCCATGACCCCGTGACCCGTCTCCCCCCCGTGACCACGTGACCCCGTGACACGTGTCTCCCCCACGTGTCTCCACCCCGTGTCCGTGACCCCGTGACCCATGACCCCGTGACCCGTCTCCCCCCCGTGACCACGTGACCCCGTGACACGTGTCTCCCCCACGTGTCTCCACCCCGTGTCTCCGTGACCCCGTGTCTCCGTGACCCCATTACCCGTGTCTCCCCCACGTGTCTCCGTGACCCTGTGTCTCCTCCACGTGTCTCCGTGACCCCGTGACCCCCCCACGTGTCTCCGTGACCCCGTTACCCGTGTCTCCCCCACGTGTCTCCGTGACCCCGTGACCCCGTTACCCGTGTCTCCCCCACGTGTCTCCGTGACCCCGTGACCCCGTTACTCGTGTCTCCCCCACGTGTCTCCGTGACCCCGTGACCCCGTTACCCGTGTCTCCCCCACGCGTCTCCGTGACCCCGTGACCCCGTTACCCGTGTCTCCCCCACGTGTCTCCGTGACCCCGTGACCCCGTTACCCGTGTCTCCCCCACGTGTCTCCGTGACCCCGTGACCCGTGTCTCCCCCACGTGTCTCCGTGACCCCGTGACCCCGTTACCCGTGTCTCCCCCACGTGTCTCCGTGACCCCGTGACCCGTGTCTCCCCCACGTGTCTCCGTGACTCCGTGACCCCGTTACCCGTGTCTCCCCCCCGTGTCTCCGTGACCCCGTGACCCGTGTCTCCCCCACGTGTCTCCGTGACCCCGTTACCCGTGTCTCCCCCACGTGTCTCCGTGACCCCGTGACCCCGTTACCCGTGTCTCCCCCACGTGTCTCCGTGACCCCGTGACCCCGTGACCCCGTTACCCTTGTCTCCCCCACGCATCTCCGTGACCCCGTGACCCCGTGACCCCGTTACCCGTGTCTCCCCCACGTGTTCCACAGCAGCAGAGATTTATCCCCTCGCGTCACCGACGTCCCCAGCAGAGGGAAGGCGTGGAACCCTCCCAGAGCATCTACGTCGACAACATCGTCATCGTCATCATCATCATCATCGTCATCAACATCGTCATCAACATCGTCATCATCATCAACATCGTCATCATCAACATCGTCGTCGTCATCAACATCGTCGTCGTCATCAACATCACCATCATCGTCATCAACATCGTCACCATCATCATCATCAACATCGTCACCATCATCATCATCAACATCGTCATCATCATCATCAACATCGTCATCAACATCGTCACCATCACCATCATCATCGTCGTTGTCATCAACATTGTCATCAACATCGTCACCATCATCAACATTGTCACCATCATCAACATCGTCATCATCAACATTGTCATCAACATCGTCATCATCATCAACATCGTCATCATCATCAACATCGTCATCATCTACAGCGTCGTCATCAACATCGTCACCATCATCAACATTGTCATCGTCATCAACAACGTCATCATCAACATTGTCATCGTCATCAACATCGTCACCATCATCAACATTGTCATCGTCATCAACATCATCATCATCAACATTGTCATCGTCATCAACATCGTCATCAACATCGTCATCATCAACATCGTCATCAACATCATCATCAACAACATCGTCATCAACATCGTCATCAACATCGTCATCAACATTGTCATCAACATTGTCATCAACAACATTGTCATCAACATCGTCATCAACAATATTGTCATCAACATCGTCATCAACATACAGGAGGGATGCACCACCACCATCACCACCACCATCACCACCACCATCACCACCACCGACGTCACTATCACCACCACTGCACCACCACCACCACCACCACCGACGTCACCATCACCACCACCACCATCACCACCACCATCACCTGTGCTTGAGCCATGATGGACGCAGCACGTCACCCATCCTCCCTCCGCCAGCCGTCCCAGCCTCTCGAACCAATCGCAGGGCAGGGAGCGCCTCACCGCTCGGCCTCCGTCACCACCATCGCCATCGACGCCATCACCGTCGCGGCCGCCATCCCCATCACCGCCACCACCGCCATCGCGATGGTGGTGGCGCTCACCGGCTCCGGCCGTGGTGATGCCATCACCACAATGGTGGTGATGGTCTGGCAGCTGCTGCTGCTGGTTGTGGTGGTTGTGGTGGTGGTGGTTGTGGTGGTGGTGGTTGTGGTAACGCCGTGTGTACCACTTCTCTGCCACGCCCCCCGTGAGGCTCACAATGGCGTCGGTCACCTGACCCGAGCCCAGGGCTTCGTAGCAGCCGTAGAGCCTGTCAACAACAACAACAACAGCCATAGAGCCTGTCAACAACAACAGCCGTAGAGCCTGTCAACAACAACAACAACAGCCGTAGAGCCTGTCAACAACAACAACAGCCGTAGAGCCTGTAAACAACAACAACAGCCGTAGAGCCTGTAAACAACAGCAACAGCCATAGAGCCTGTCAACAACAGCCGTAGAGCCTGTCAACAACAACAACAGCCATAGAGCCTGTCAACAACAGCCGTACAGACTGTCAACAACAACAACAGCCGTAGAGCCTGTCAACAACAACAACAACAACAGCCGTAGAGCCTGTCAACAACAACAGCCATAGAGCCTGTCAACAACAGCCGTACAGACTGTCAACAATAACAACAGCCATATAGCCTGTCAACAACAACAACAACAGCCGTAGAGCCTGTCAACAACAACAACAGCAGTACAGACTGTCAACAACAACAACAGCAGCCGTAGAGCCTGTCAACAACAACAACAGCAGTAGTACAGACTGTCAACAACAACAACAGCCGTAGAGCCTGTCAACAACAACAACAGCCATAGAGCCTGTCAACAACAACAGCCGTAGAGCCTGTCAACAACAACAACAGCAGTAGTACAGACTGTCAACAACAACAACAGCCGTAGAGCCCGTCAACAACAACAACAGCCGTAGAGCCTGTCAACAACAACAACAGCAGTAGTACAGACTGTCAACAACAACAACAGCCGTAGAGCCTGTCAACAACAACAACAGCCGTAGAGCCTGTCAACAACAGCAGTACAGACTGTCAACAACAACAGCCGTACAGACTGTCAACAACAAGAACAGCCGTAGAGCCTGTAAACAACAACAACAGCCATACAGACTGTCAACAATAACAACAGCCGTACCGACTTTCAACAACAACAACAACAGCCGTACAGACTGTCAACAACAACAGCCATAGAGACTGTCAACAACAACAACAGCAGCCGTACAGCCTGTTAACAACAACAATAGCCGTACGGCCTGTCAACAACAACAACCACAACAATACAGGCAGTTGTGTACAACTCACTTTGTCTACGTAGGGTGCAACAGGCAGTTGTGTACAACTCACTTTGTCTACGCAGGGTGCAACAGGCAGTTGTGTACAACTCACTTTGTCTACGCAGGGTGCAACAGGCAGTTGTGTACAACTCACTTTGTCTACGCAGGGTGCAACAGGCAGTTGTGTACAACTCACTTTGTCTACGTAGAGTGCAACAGGCAGTTGTGTACAACTCACTTTGTCTACGTAGGGTGCAACAGGCAGTTGTGTACAACTCACTTTGTCTACGTAGGGTGCAACAGGCAGTTGTGTACAACTCACTTTGTCTACGTAGGGTGCAACAGGCAGTTGTGTACAACTCACTTTGTCTACGTAGGGTGCAACAGGCAGTTGTGTACAACTCACTTTGTCTACGCAGGGTGCAACAGGCAGTTGTGTACAACTCACTTTGTCTACGTAGGGTGCAACAGGCAGTTGTGTACAACTCACTTTGTCTACGTAGGGTGCAACAGGCAGTTGTGTACAACTCACTTTGTCTACGTAGGGTGCAACAGGCAGTTGTGTACAACTCACTTTGTCTACGTAGGGTGCAACAGGCAGTTGTGTACAACTCACACTGTCTGTGTAGGGTGCAACAGGCAGTTGTGCACAACTCACTTTGTCTACGTAGGGTGCAACAGGCAGTTGTGTACAACTCACACTGTCTGCGTAGGGTGCAACAGGCAGTTGTGTACAACTCACTTTGTCTACGCAGGGTGCAACAGGCAGTTGTGTACAACTCACTTTGTCTACGTAGGGTGCAACAGGCAGTTGTGTACAACTCACTTTGTCTAAGTAGGGTGCAACAGGCAGTTGTGTACAACTCACTTTGTCTACGTAGGGTGCAACAGGCAGTTGTGTACAACTCACACTGTCTACGTAGGGTGCAACAGGCAGTTGTGTACAACTCACTTTGTCTACGTAGGGTGCAACAGGCAGTTGTGTACAACTCACTTTGTCTACGTAGGGTGCAACAGGCAGTTGTGTACAACTCACTTTGTCTACGTAGGGTGCAACAGGCAGTTGTGTACAACTCACTTTTGTCTACGTAGGGTGCAACAGGCAGTTGTGTACAACTCACTTTGTCTACGTAGGGTGCAACAGGCAGTTGTGTACAACTCACTTGGCGAAGGCCTTCTCAAGGAGTGGCAGCCAGAAGAGACGTGGATTTGGGCAGCGGGCGAAGCAGAGGACGGGCGGCGACAGCGGCAGCACGGGGAGTCGGTCATCAACCTCCACCTCCACCCACCCGCCGTCTGCACAACAACAACCACAACAACAACAACCACTACCACAACAACCACCACAACAACCGCAGCAACAACGGCAAGTCAATCACGGTTCCACAACAATCACAACGACTACCACAACAACCGCAACAACAACCACAACAACAACAACCGCAAGTCAATCACGGTTCCACAACAATCACAACAACTACCTCCTCCACCCACCCACTGGCTACACCGCCATCGCCACCACCACCCACAGCAACAACAACAACCAAACGTCAACCACGATTACACAAAAATCATAACAACCAGCTCCATCCACTACCACCGTCGCAACAACAACAACTGCAACAACAAATGCAACAACCGCATAAAAACAACAACAACCACTTCCACCCACCCACCACCTTCACCACCACCACCTCCACAACAACCACACGCCAACCACAATTACCTCCACCTCCCCACCACCACCACCACCACAACAACCACAATTACCAACACCGCCATTTCCAACCACCGCCGCAACAACTGCACGTCAAGCACAACTACACAGCAACCACAATTACCACCTACCCACCCGCCACCACCACCACCACCACCACAGCAACCACCGCATGTCAACCACGGCTAAACAACAACAACAACCACCACTGCCGCAGGCCCCTTACCTGTGCTGTCTCTGTGTGGTTGCCACAACCGTACACACAGGCGGCCTGTGTAGGCCTCACCGGGACACAACACCTGGCCCGGAGGGAACACCTGCACACAGGTAGACACACACACAGTGTACACACACAACAACAACAACAACCGCCACCTATTCTGAACACCTCCTATGTCAGCCAGGGTCTCTGGGGAGGTCTGGACCGCGTACCCAAAGCGGCCATTGCAGCTGCATGAGTCACAGTCCTAAACCTCGCCCATTTACCCTCGACATCAGGAGGAGTGGGGGACGATGCCAACCCCAGCCGCAAGCGATGATGAAATTCTCGCTTGCAACTTTCATCAGATAACTGAGGCCAGGCCACTTTAGGTTGGAATGGGGTCCTGGGTGTACACCCACCACCGGAGTGGAAGAATGGCAGACGCATGTTACAGATGACAAGTCGATGGTAAGTGGGCAGATGAGCTCCGCGGTAGGTCCTGGTGTCAAGGACATGGGCCCGCATCCGCTGGTCCGTTACTACGTAGTCCAGCAAATGTTCTTGCTTGGACCCGGCATGCATCCATGATGTTGTGTGGATGCGCCGATGCCGGAACAGCGTGTTGGTAATTACAAGCCCATGGGCTGCACAAAAATCTAGCAGCCTCCTAATGTTGTTATTGAGCTGATCTGGCCCATGCCCTACAATCACTCCAGACCAAGTGCCAGCATCATGACCAACTCAGGCATTAAAGTCACCCAACAAGATGACTCTATTCCGAGGGGCCACTTTAGCCAGCACCTGTGACAGGAGGTCATAGAAGGCATCTGACTCATCGGCTTTGCCTGCATCCCTCCACGGATGTTCGTCTTCGGTGGGGGCATAAGTAACCATGACCACCACTCCTCGCCTCTGGTTGATGGGAAGGCGAGCCCAAAGTAGCCTGGGGCTTACAGCTTCCAACACCTCACCGCCACACTCCCACGCCCCCTTCATTCTTTTGTTCAAAAGAAGAGCCACACCCTGTTGTTTGGTAGTCTGCTGCCCCGAGTAGAGGACTGTCCACCCCTCATGGTGGCAGGAGCCAGAACCAGTCCACCGGACCTCCTGAATGCCACAGAGATCCAGGCGGTACCGGTCCAGCTCCCGACAGAGGAGTGGCAGCCTCTCCTCCGCAGTGAGCGTTCGAATATTCCACGTGGCCACACGAAGTGGCTTTTCGTTGTTTCTGGAGGAGCCTCAAGGGTAGAGATTCAATCTCCTGGCTCCGCCAATTGGGGTTTGGCCAGGAGATGTCATAGACGCCTGTCCCCCCGGGGCCTCCAGCACAAGCTTATTAGTTATTTTTTTTTACTCGTGGTTTCGTGGTAAAATTGTTGAAGGTGGAGGGGTTACCAGCCCCTTGCACTCGTCCAGAGCCCCCGTTTAGCCACTGTGGTGGTCACAGACGCCATGAGAGGAGGGCCAATCAGAATTGGCCCTCCCCCCACAGCACTGTCCACGACAGAGTTTCCTGTCCGGCACCGCGAGGAGGAAGGGGGTTGTTTTTACGGACTAGGTACACACACACAGTTACACACACAGTTACACACACACACAGGTACACACAGGTAGACACACAGGTAGACACACACACAGGTAGACAACAACAACTGCCATTCGCCACTAAGTGGCGGTGACGTCACCACGACGCTTGTGCCAGGCCATGTGCACCTTGAGGCCACGTGAAGTGTCGAACGCCCGCTGGCAGGAGGTCACGGGGCAGACCCAGCAGGTGCCACGGGTCGACTGACTGAGATGACTGAGATGACTGGCTGATGCACCACCTGTGCCCCCTACTGTGCCAACCTGCTGTGCTTTAGCCAGGTAGACACACACACACACACAGGTGTACACACGCACGTAGCGCTTGCCCCGACAGCTCCGCTTGGGGCTACAGGGGGGCGACCTTTAACCTTCGCCAGTCCCCCCCCCCACCCCCACCCCTCCGCTCACCATCTCCAGGAGGTGAGGGTTCCTCAGCAGCGCCACGCTGGCGCTCAGCAGCCAGCAGTCCCCCAGCACGCCCTGTACGGGCCGGGCCTGGGCCCACAGCCCGGCCCAGGCCTCAGCCGGGCCCTCCTCCGTCGGGGGCAGCAGCGTGGGGGCATCGCACAGCTCCTGGGGGGCACAATGCCGCCTTCACCACCGCACTGCCGCCGTCCCCACCGCACTGCCGCCGTCACCACCGCACTGCCGCCTTCACCACCGCACTGCCGCCGTCCCCACCGCACTGCCGCCGTCACCACCGCACTGCCGCCGTCACCACCGCACTGCCGCCGTCACCACCGCACTGCCGCCGTCACCACCGCACTGCCGCCGTCGCCACCGCACTGCCGTTGCCACCACCACCAGCGCGCTACCACCAATACCGCCACCACCACCACCATTACCACACCGCCACCACCACCATTACCACACCACCACCACCACCACCATTACTACACCGCCACCACCACCATTACCACACCATGCCCACCACCATTAACACACCGCCACCACCACCACCATTACCACACCGTTACCACCATAACCACACCGTTACCACCATTACCACACCGCCACCACCACCACCACCACCATTACCACACCACCACCACCACCATTACCACACCGCCACCACCACCATTACCACACCGCCACCACCACCACCACCATTACCACACCGCCACCACCATAACCACACCGTCACCATCATTACCACACCGCCACCACCACCACCATTACCACACCACCACCACCACCACCACCATTACCACACCACCACCATTACCACACCGCCACCACCACCATTACCACACCGCCACCACCACCATTACGACACCACCACCACCACCACACCGTCACCACCACCACCATTACCACACCGCCACCACCACCATTACCACACCACCACCACCATTACCACACCACCACCACCACCATTACCACACCGCCACCACCACCATTACGACACCGCCACCACCACCATTACCACACCACCACCACCACCATTACCACACCACCACCACCACCATTACCACACCACCACCACCACCACCATTACCACACCGCGCGAGCGCCGCTGCGTACGTGCGGGCGCCTCCACTCGACGGCACGCAGACGCCGGCGGAACTCGGCTCCGGCGCCTCCTCCTCCTCCTCCTCCGCCTCCGGCGTGACGGCGCCGGAACAGCGAGGAGGGAGCAGCCGGGAAGTCGCCATCCTTGTGGAGACGCGGGCCGGGCATGGCCAATGGAGGGTTGCGGATGCTGCGGAGACACAGACCCACACACACACACCACTCACCACACACACACACACCACTCACCACACACACCACACACACACACACCACTCACTCACACACACACCACACGCCACACACACACACCACTCACCACACACACACACACACCACTCACCACACACACACACACACCACTCACCACACACCACTCACCACACACCACTCACCACTCACCACACACCACTCACCACACACACACACCACTCACCACACACACACTCACCACACACACACACCACTCACCACACACACACCACACGCCACACACACACACACCACTCATCACACACACACCACTCACCACACACACACACACACCACTCACCACACACACACACACCACTCACCACACACACACACACCACTCACCACACACACACCACACACCACTCACCACACACACACCACTCACCACACACACACCACTCACCACACACACACACACCACTCACCACACACACACACACCACTCACCACACACACACACACCACTCACCACACACACCACACACCACTCACCACACACACACCACTCACCACACACACACCACTCACCACACACACACACACTCACCACACACACACACACCACTCACCACACACACACACACCACTCACCACACACACACACACCACTCACCACACACACACACACTCACCACACACACACCACACACCACTCACCACACACCACTCACCACACACACACACACACACCACTCACCACACACACACCACACACCACTCACCACACACACACACACACCACTCACCACACACCACTCACACACCACTCACCACACACACACACACACCACTCACCACACACCACTAACCACACACCACTCACCACACACACACCACTCACCACACGCCACTCACCACACACCACTCACCACACACACACACACCACACACCACTCACCAATCACCACACACCACTCACCACTCACCAATCACCACACACCACTCACCACACACACACCACACACCACTCACCACACACACACACACCACTCACCACTCACCACACACACACACACCACTCACCACACACCACTCACCACTCACCACTCACCACACACACACACACCACTCACCACACACACACACACCACTCACCACTCACCACACACACACACACCACTCACCACACACACACACACCACTCACCACTCACCACACACACACCACTCACCACACACCACTCACCACACACACACCACTCACCACACGCCACTCACCACACACCACTCACCACACACCACTCACCACACACACACCACTCACCACACGCCACTCACCACACACCACTCACCACACACACACACACCACACACCACTCACCAATCACCACACACCACTCACCACTCACCAATCACCACACACCACTCACCACACACCACTCACCACTCACGCCCGCCACTGTGTGCGCATTGCAGGAACCCTCCTCGACCTACGAACGCTCGAACTTACGAACTCTTCCGAGATACGAACTGAAATCAAGGGACCCCTCCTCGACTTACGAACGCTCGAACTTACGAACTCTTCCGAGATACGAACTGAAATCAAGGGACCCCTCCTCGACTTACGAACGTTCGAACTTATGAACTCTTCCGAGATACGAACTGAAATCAAGGGACCCTCCTCGATTTACGAACGTTCGAACTTACGAACTCTTCTGAGATACGAACTGACATGCACAGACCCTCCTCGACTTATGGACGTTCGAACTTACAAAACTCTTCCGAGATACGAACTGACACGCAGGGCCCGCTCCTCGACCTACGGACGTTCTTCAGTCTCGGCACCGCCAAACGCCGGGAGGCTTTAACCGAGAGGTTGTCATCAGCCGCTCGCGACTGCTGCCGCCTGCCACGAGTTCATTCGTGAAGAGGCAAACAACAGAGGGCAGACACCTCCCGGTAAGTTGTTGTTCAAGAGATTAGAGAGGAAAATACGAGCACCGAGGTGAATGAGTGTCTACATGTGCAGAACGTGAAGAACCAGCGGCATCTACATCTGCAGAACGTGAAGAACCAGTGCATCTACATCTACAGAACGTGAAGAACCAGTGGCATCTACATCTGTAGAACGTGAGGAACCAGTGGCATCTACATCTGCAGAAGGTGAAGAACCAATGGTCTTTACATCTACAGAACGTGAAGAACCAGTGGCATCTACATCTAGAGAACGTGAAAAACCAGTGGTATCTACATCTGTAGAACATGAAGAACCAGTGGCATGTACATCTGTAGAACGTGAAGAACCAGTGGTATTGACATCTATAGAACATGAAGAACCAGTGGCATCTACATCTACAGAACATGAAGAACCAGTGCATCTACATCTACAGAACGTGAAGAACCAGTGGTATCTATATCTGCAGAACGTGAAGAACCAGTGGCATCTACATCTACAGAACGTGAAGAACCAGTGGCATCTACATCTGTAGAACGTGAAGAACCAGTGGCATCTACATCTGTAGAACGTGAAGAACCAGTGGCATCTACATCTGCAGAACGTGAAGAACCAGTGGTATTGACATCTATAGAACATAAAGAACCAGTGGCATCTACATCTACAGAACATGAAGAACCAGTGCATCTACATCTACAGAACGTGAAGAACCAGTGGTATCTATATCTGCAGAACGTGAAGAACCAGTGGCATCCACATCTACAGAACGTGAAGAACCAGTGGCATCTACATCTGTAGAACGTGAAGAACCAGTGGCATCTACATCTGTAGAACGTGAAGAACCAGTGGCATCTACATCTGCAGAACGTGAAGAACCAGTGGCATCTACATCTGCAGGACGTGAAGAACCAGTGGCATCTACATCTGTAGAACGTGAAGAACCAGTGGCATCTACATCTACAGAACGTGAAGAACCAGTGGCATCTACATCTGTAGAACGTGAGGAACCAGTGGCATCTACATCTGCAGAAGGTGAAGAACCAATGGTCTTTACATCTACAGAACGTGAAGAACCAGTGGCATCTACATCTAGAGAACGTGAAAAACCAGTGGTATCTACATCTGTAGAACATGAAGAACCAGTGGCATGTACATCTGTAGAACGTGAAGAACCAGTGGTATTGACATCTATAGAACATGAAGAACCAGTGGCATCTACATCTACAGAACATGAAGAACCAGTGCATCTACATCTACAGAACGTGAAGAACCAGTGGTATCTATATCTGCAGAACGTGAAGAACCAGTGGCATCTACATCTACAGAACGTGAAGAACCAGTGGCATCTACATCTGTAGAACGTGAAGAACCAGTGGCATCTACATCTGTAGAACGTGAAGAACCAGTGGCATCTACATCTGCAGAACGTGAAGAACCAGTGGTATTGACATCTATAGAACATGAAGAACCAGTGGCATCTACATCTACAGAACATGAAGAACCAGTGCATCTACATCTACAGAACGTGAAGAACCAGTGGTATCTATATCTGCAGAACGTGAAGAACCAGTGGCATCCACATCTACAGAACGTGAAGAACCAGTGGCATCTACATCTGTAGAACGTGAAGAACCAGTGGCATCTACATCTGTAGAACGTGAAGAACCAGTGGCATCTACATCTGCAGAACGTGAAGAACCAGTGGCATCTACATCTGCAGGACGTGAAGAACCAGTGGCATCTACATCTGTAGAACGTGAAGAACCAGTGGCATCTACATCTGCAGAACGTGAAGAACCAGTGGCATCTACATCTGCAGAACGTGAAGAACCAGTGGCATCTACATCTGCAGAACGTGAAGAACCAGTGGCATCTACATCTGCAGAACGTGAAGAACCAGTGGCATCTACATCTGCAGAACGTGAAGAACCAGTGGCATCTAGATCTATAGAACGTGAAGAACCAGTGGCATCTACATATGCAGAACGTGAAGAACCAATGGCATCTACATCTGCAGAACGTGAAGAACCAGTGGCATCTACATCTGCAGAACGTGAAGAACCAGTGGCATCTACATCTGCAGAACGTGAAGAACCAGTGGCATCTACATTTGCAGAACGTGAATAACCAGTGGCATCTACATCTGCAGAACGTGAAGAACCAGTGGCATCTACATCTGTAGAACGTGAAGAACCAGTGGCATCTACATCTGCAGAACGTGAAGAACCAGTGGCATCTACATCTGCAGAACGTGAAGAACCAATGGCATCTACATCTGCAGAACGTGAAGAACCAGTGGCATCTACATCTGTAGAACGTGAAGAACCAGTGGCATCTAGATCTATAGAACGTGAAGAACCAGTGGCATCTACATATGCAGAACGTGAAGAACCAATGGCATCTACATCTGCAGAATGTGAAGAACCAGTGGCATCTACATCTGCAGAACGTGAAGAACCAGTGGCATCTACATCTGCAGAACGTGAAGAACCAGTGGCATCTCCATCTGCAGAACGTGAAGAACCAGTGGCATCTTCATCTGCAGAACGTGAAGAACCAGTGGTATCTACATCTGCAGAACGTGAACAACCAGTGGCATCTACATCTGCAGAACGTGAAGAACCAGTGGCATCTACATCTGCATAACGTGAAGAACCAGTGGCATCTACATCTGTAGAACGTGAAGAACCAGTGGCATCTACATCTGCAGAACGTGAAGAACCAGTGGCATCTACATCTGCAGAACGTGAAGAACCAGTGGCATCTACATCTGCAGAACGTGAAGAACCAGTGGCATCTACGTCTGCAGAACGTGAAGAACCAGTGGCATCTACATCTGCAGAACGTGAAGAACCAGTGGCATCTACACCTGTAGAACGTGAAAAACCAGTGGCATCTACATCTGCAGAACGTGAAGAACCAGTGGCATCTACATCTGTAGAACGTGAAGAACCAGTGGCATCTACATCTGCAGAACGTGAAGAACCAGTGGCATCTACATCTGCAGAACGTGAAGAACCAGTGGCATCTACATTTGCAGAACGTGAAGAACCAGTGGCATCTACATCTGCAGAACGTGAAGAACCAGTGGCATCTACATCTGTAGAACGTGAAGAACCAGTGGCATCTAGATCTATAGAACGTGAAGAACCAGTGGCATCTACATATGCAGAACGTGAAGAACCAATGGTATCTACATCTGCAGAATGTGAAGAACCAGTGGCATCTACATCTGCAGAACGTGAAGAACCAGTGGCATCTACATCTGCAGAACGTGAAGAACCAGTGGCATCTCCATCTGCAGAACGTGAAGAACCAGTGGCATCTTCATCTGCAGAACGTGAAGAACCAGTGGTATCTACATCTGCAGAACGTGAACAACCAGTGGCATCTACATCTGCAGAACGTGAAGAACCAGTGGCATCTACATCTGCATAACGTGAAGAACCAGTGGCATCTACATCTGTAGAACGTGAAGAACCAGTGGCATCTACATCTGCAGAACGTGAAGAACCAGTGGCATCTACATCTGTAGAACGTGAAGAACCAGTGGCATCTACATCTGCAGAACGTGAAGAACCAGTGGCATCTACATCTGCAGAACGTGAAGAACCAGTGGCATCTACATCTGCAGAACGTGAAGAACCAGTGGCATCTACATCTGCAGAACGTGAAGAACCAGTGGCATCTACATCTGTAGAACGTGAAGAACCAGTGGCATCTACATCTGCAGAACGTGAAGAACCAGTGGCATCTACATCTCCAGAACGTGAAGAACCAGTGGCATCTACATCTATAGAACGTGAACAACCAGAAGCATCTACATCTACAGAACATGAAGAACCAGTGGCATCTACATCTACGGAACGTGAAGAACCAGTGGCATTTACAGAACGCGAAGAACCAGTGGCATCTACAGAACGCGAAGAACCAGTGGCATCTACAGAACGTGAAGAACCAGTGGTATATACATATACAGAACGTGAAGAACCAGTGGCATCTACAGAACGTGAAGAATCAGTGGCATCTACAGAACGTGAAGAACCAGTGGCATCTACAGAACGTGAAGAACCAGTGGCATCTACAGAACGTGAAGAACCAGTGGTATATACATCTATAGAACGTGAAGAACCAGTGGCATCTACAGAACGTGAAGAATCAGTGGCATCTACAGAACGTGAAGAACTAGTAGCATCTACATCTACAGAACGTGAAGAATCAGTGGCATCTACAGAACGTGAAGAACCAGTGGCATCTACAGAACGTGAAGAACCAGTGGTATCTACATCTGCAGAACGTGAAGAACCAGTGGCATCTACATCTACAGAACGTGAAGAACCAGTGGCATCTACAGAACGTGAAGAACCAGTGAAAGGGCCACTGGTTGGGTTTATCTTTGATGGCTTTTGCGAGATATTTCAGATTCAAGCGAGATTTCAAAAAAAAGAATAATTCCGCATTGTATGACCTTAACATCTGAATAATTCGAAAACGCTAAACCGTAGGCGAACGGAAATGATGGCTGAGATATTTTTTTAATGTACATACTACCAACGAGAAAACGTGGCGTGCATATCGTGTCATTCCTTCACGTAAAGTCCCGGTCACAGAAGCAAAGCTTGTGGTGAATACGTGTGAGACATAAGCAATTCGAAAACAACACTTACTACCCAGGAACAAAAATGGGTGACCAAATAATGCCCGTCAATACGGTAACGCGCATTGAGCTATAGGGTAGCGCTCTAGACTAGGCTGTGTACGGTAACCCCGTCAATACGGTAACGCGCATTGAGCTATGGGGCAGCGCCCTAGACTAGGATGTGTACGGTAACCCCCGTCAATACGGTAACGCGCATTGAGCTATGGGGTAGCGCCCTAGACTAGGATGTGTACGGTAACCCCCGTCAATACGGTAACGCGCATTGGAGCTATGGGACAGGGCCCTAGACTAGGATGTGTACGGTAACCCCCGTCAATACGGTAACGCGCATTGAGCTATGGGGTAGCGCCCTAGACTAGGATGTGTACGGTAACCCCCGTCAATACGGTAACGCGCATTGAGCTATGGGACAGCGCCCTCGACTAGGATGTGTACGGTAACCTCGTCAATACGGTAACGCGCATTGAGCTATGGGGTAGCGC